ATGAAACATAAAAGAACACATAAAATCATACTTGATGCCATATTGTATAGAAGGTTTTCTTGAAGATAATGATATTGAGAAAGAATATGCACCTCTTATATATAGTTAGAATTTCGACTATCTATACCTATCAACCTTTCTTCTCGAACTATGAAGGACAGTAACAATTGAAATGCCAATACGAGGTGTGAAGTTACAAGATAATCAAAGGTTACTTAGAAAAACACTGAAATGAAAATTGATCTTTATGAATCGTGTGAAATGTTCGTCATGCATAAACTAGCATAAATGTGTAATCTTCTATATTTTTGTTTTCTAACATTAAATGAAAAAGAAACAAAGGTCACTGTTCGTATCTGATTCATACGAATTGCGATTTAAAATAATAAATATATGATGCCATCATTCAAGGCCATATCGTGAAATCGATTTATAGAAAGAATCGAAAGTATAAATAACGCACAAAGGTATGTACCGAATGTAAACGTTCGAGTTCGGTCTTGAATTCAGTCACTAATGAAAAGACGTATTAGGAAGCGAAAAGAAATATTTAAAAACTAAATGGATAAAGACGATGCAGCAAATTCTTAACAATATTCAAAAAAAACTATTCGGATCCGATCAGTATTTATTATAGTTTAATTGAACTTTTTTAAACATCTAAAATCAGTTATTGAAGAATGAAATAAAAAAACACAACATTCTTTTCATTCAAAAATATTTAATTTAATTCGATAGTTTGTCTTCTAATGTAAATGGTGCATCAACAAGATTAGACGTGGTAATCCTATTCTTACAGAATATTTTGACAAATAATATCACAGTTATTCTTTTTTCTAAATAATAGAAACTACCTATTAATAATAACTTCAATTTGTTTATCTTGAATAACATAAGACTCATAGAAAAATTCATTTTCTAATTTTCGAATATATGATCGTCAAAATTCTCATTGCATTGAAAAATAAAATATAGCTGTCTAGAATAACATCACTTTAACTCTCAAACTCTCAAACTAAGGTGTAGGTGTACATATGAGTGTGAAATAGAAACAACACCTAAATCCTTAATTGTCGTTATAATCCCTTTGTCACATTTGAAGAGAGAATCGTGGGGCCAACGGAATTATTTTGATTAAAAACGCAATAAAGAGGGTATAATCTTGAAGTCAATTTCTTTCGATCAGATATCATCTTCAAAAGTAATTGAAAACTAAGAAGTAAGAGAAAATTGTATATGTAAACAATTATAAAGTTGCTTCATTGTTTTAATGATTTGCTATTAAGAATAAAAATTCATCGGACTTTTGTTAATCTTTCACAATTTATTGATGTTTCACATAGAGTACTTCATTCAATTATATTAATTTGATCGCATGGTTTGTCAAAAACATAAATTGTATCCTAATTTTTTCTTGTAAAGAGAGAGATGTATAAGACGGCAAATCGGTCCACCCTTAAATTGGTTACAAGACCATACGAAGCGATACAGAATGAGATGGCAAATTTTTCTATGATAAATTCAATTTACTTCAGAACTCATTTAATGATTCCATCCAGACATTATGGCCTTATTTTGAGGGTGTGAGTGAACATTCGCTTTTTCTTTACACTTGTCGACAGCCATATCCACACTCACACACGTGATCAGGAAGATCTTCATACCTTTATCGATCCTATCATCCATCTTCACATATACTCACATCCACTTTTAAGAATCAACGTAAACCACACAGGTGTTTATTAGAAAATGAAATAGCAAAAATCCTAACTAATTAGTGCCTTGATCCAAAGAAGGCGGGTGTGGGTGTGGGATGTTATAAATACGATATTCGCAATAAAATCCACACCCACACCCACCCCTCCTCACTTGCTTTCAATTTCTGTTCGTATTAAATGTAATCTCAAGAACCAACTGTATTCCTCTTCTTAATTATATGTGTCGAGCAATAAGCAGCAGTATTTGTAAGATTTCTTTTTATTGTATTTGAATTTTTCTCCATGGAAGAAAAGCAAATGTGGAGAAATGCAATTTACGTGTTGATAATTATTTACTTGAATAGAATTGAATATGAAAACAGGAGCGTGTCGCAAGTGGGGTGTTGGGGTCGCGACGCCTTGCAGGAATAGAATTATTTTTGTAAGATAACCTAAAAAATTTCAAAAAGTTGGACTAACGTTCCTCAGTTTTTTGAACATCGGGACACTCCCGTATGGAAACAACGTGTTATTCGTCATTTATAATGCTTCTATCGTTGTTATTTTGTGTTTCATACGCTGAGCAGAGATGGTCATCGCGTCAGCAGCGCGGTATAAGGTTTCAGAGGAATTTACTGTTTAATTTCTAGATAAAACGTTATGGTCAGAGCTTTAATAAAACTTCTTATGATTTGTATGTGTTGAATTTTACAATGATTATATTGTGTGAAAAATTAATAGACGCTTTTAGCTTATCTAAATTAATCAGAATTTTAAATCAATGAAATTATCGCAAACTGCAAATGTCCAACAATATTTCACTTTACTATCAGATGGAACGCATTCTCGATATCAACACTTGAATTAGACACATTCAAGATATACTGTTCGCAAACAATTCGTGAATAGATATAATAAATTAGGAACTGTAAGCACAATGAGTTGTACACAATAACTGAGAACAAAATAAAATCTTGACATATTTTTAATTTATATGTCATCGAATGATTGAAATAAAATCATTGAAAAAAAAGTGGTCGGTGAACAGATCTATAGATGACATTGGAATGGTTTCTGTTTTTTTTCATATGAATATATATATAAAATTTGTTTGTGCGAGGAGCGTAAATTGAATTCATTCTTTTATACAACACGTATACACGAAAATATTACACAACATGACCAAGTACCGATTTGCTCGTTTGTCATTTGCCCCGCCATCATCTAAGGTAACAATATACAGAAAAACTTTCCACTATGTACATTTTCTTAATGCAAGCAACTCCATGGAGCGATTCTTGTTTGAAATCGGTGTCTCCCTAGTAGGAGTATCAGTTTAGGATTCTATATCATAGAAATACAAGTTTTTGTAATAATTTGTATTCACACATTTTTTTTCTTTTATTTTGAGACAAGTCATTATATATTTCCGAGCTCTTGTGAATGGTAACTAGCACAAAGTTTCAAATTCCCATTTCCTAATAAATACTCTTTTATTTTGGACAGTGAAGAAATTCTTCGTTCTTGTCAAGTTCAAACGGTTGTCCTTGCGCATACAAACGAAGAAAGAACAGATTTCTTAGTCATGTGGTGACTAATTTTTCTCTTAACTCCATTTTTTGTGCGCAATATTGTCTCATTAATATCTCAGTCGTGTTCGAAGATGACAAAGATTGGTTAAGAAATAGGTCAGTTATCCTAAAAATTCCCTAGGTCACCTCTAAGGAAGAGTACAGGGATTTTTGCAGAAAAAACAATTTCGCATAAAATTATTCACAACATATATAACAGAACTTCGTTTGGTGGGGGCACGTTCGGATCCTCAAGTTCCGTACTACGGGGCTACTCTTGAGTCCACATATGCTGTGATATAAACGCTATCTAATACATGTTTGTATTACAGTTGTACAATAGAATGCGCCCGATAAATAAGAGTTTTAATCACGAAATCAGATCGAGATGTTATGTGATTTGCAACAAATTACTGTATCCTTAATTAAAGCTTTTTAATCTTCTCAAAAAGTGAATGTACTATTATATCAGTCAGCAGTTTTCGATGCCGATGCGAGTATCCATTTACATAATAACTCGTAGAAGCAGATTTTAATCGATATGAACTTTCCTGTACAGTTTAATTTCATCAGAATATCAGTCGAATTCGAAAATAAACCGAATCCACAGAGCCTTTCGTGGCGCATTGTAGAAGAACTGACTTTTTTGTAGGATTTATCTATGTTTTCTCATGCACTTTTTATAGTATACTTAACTTTAAGATAAAATCCAAAGTTTCCACATTTATTGTAAAGTAAACTTGAACTGTTAATTAGTCTAACGATAAAATTAGACATATTCACAATAATAGAATAAAGACGATAGCAACTCATATAGTGAATCTTTTCGAATATTTCATTTGATGTCCAAATTAAGAGAGCATTCTCATCAACAGACTACAGTAGAATAATAGAGTAGATTTTTGAACGGAACGAAACGATCACAGAGCTATTTATGCTAAATGATTATTGTACTCTCTGTCTGTCTTAGGTAAGACCAACTCCTAAGAAACGACAATATGTGGATAGTCCGGTTCCTTCGTTATCACCACCATTAACACCTGTAAAAATGTGGACAACGTCAACCCAAACTTTTGATCTTCCAAGATTGTCACCAGGAATACTGGTTTTACAACATGAACCAAACCAGCAAACGCTACCCATTGACCCGATACAGAAAGTGAATCGAAGCACCAACACTTCTTCTTACATGGTGGGTGGGGCATATTTAACGTCGACATGTCCATGTCTGCAGATATGCCTTATGGCTCTTGGGACCCTTACCACTCTTGCTGCGTTGGCAGCATTGGCAATCAATATCTATTTACTGACTCACATCGCTGCACCAGCAAATGGATGCATGACTACAGGTATTTAATCTAATAGACGTTGCTTTCTATTATCTGAATTCAGAAGAGATATTCTTCTGGTGTATTGCGCTTAAGTCACACCCGATTTGACTAATATTTTTATAGGTATTACGAAAGATGCTCCCGAGACATTTGCTTTCGCGACATTTGCTTCCCACGGACATTTGCTCCCCAATGACATTTACTCTTCTATCAGATTTGTTCTTCAACAGTATGAAATAGAC